AATGTATAAAGACCAAAGCTTATTAGTGGTTGCCAAAGATAGTGTGGGGGGAGTCACTGTTTAGGGGGCACTGACTTTCTGTTAATGATAGTGGGATAATTTGGAAATAGTAGTGATGGTGTTGTACAACATGATGAACATAATGTCACTGAATTGTACATGTAAAAATTCTTGAATTGGTAAATGTTTCATTACATATTTTTTTAAATCAAAATAAAACAATTTTTAAAATTATTTTTTAAAAAACCAAACCAAACTTGTTGCCACTAAGTCGATTCTGACTCATACCAGAACTGCCCCACAGGGTTTCCAAGGAGCGGCTGGTGGATTCGAACTGCCAACCTTTTGGTTACCAGATGAACTCTCAACTACTTCAAAAACCTCATTTTTATTGAATAAAAATGAAATTAATTTAACATATCTTTTTTTTTACTTTTTTTAACTTTTTATTTTGAAATAATTTTAGATTTACATAAGAGTTGTAAAGATAGTACAGCAAGTTCTCATATACCTTCTCATCAAACTTCCCTTAATGCTATCATCTTACATAACTGTGGTACTTTTTATCAAAACTAAGACATTAACATCGGAACAACACTATCAACATACTTTTATTTGTTGCCTAATGTAGGAGCATATGTGCCAATGTTTAAAAGTACATGTTCAAGTCTATAATTAGAAGCTTTAATGCCCTTAATTTGAGCCAGATAAACAAATCCTAAAGTTTTCAGCTAAATCAAACATTGTACAGTAAAATATGTGCCAAACAAAGTTTATACACATGTAGAGAGAGTTTTAACTCTTACTATTTTCTAAGTTCACCTTGGTATTGAAACAGGTTCCCCAGGACTCACCCTACTTCCCCATTTCAAACACTGTGAACCACAATGTCTACTCACAGCCAGAGGTGAAGGCTGAGTAAAGTCACAGCTGACTCACGTGGGCTGGACACACACATCCCTACAAGAGGGATGCTCAGTCAGCTCCACATAACAATGCAGCAAATGAGGTCACATCTTTCCGACAAGCACAGAAAACCACGTTCAAAATCCACACCCTCTGCCCTGCCTTCCATATTGCTCCTGAAAGTCACACATAAATCATTCAGCCTTCCTTATCAATCTGTGCCTACACAGACAACAGAAAGTCACAGACCATTCGCCCCACTGGATTAGGGCCAGGCTCAATCAGCTTGGGTTGAAGGGGAGATAGGAAGCCCTGCCCCTAGAATGAGGATGCAAGTCCTTCCTGGGAATGGGCAAGAGTTGTCTTCACCCCCCGTCAAAAGACTTCCAATAGAATTAATCCCAACTCTTCATGTGGCTTCCACTTAATATCATG